GTATCACTACTGTGTACTCCCGCTTGTATTCCCTACTGTCGCAAAGGCGCACATAGCATCCTTCCTCCAGCTCATCCTGTTCATCGAAACAACTTTTAGGACTGTCTTCCTCGGATTCATCTTCCGTGCTGAATAGAAAATTAAAGTAAAAACAGTTAAAACACAAAAGTCAGTGACATTTATTTTAGTAGGCTGTGGAGTGAATACACGAAATTGTTCGGCACCTTTCAATAGATTCAAAAAAACAAGGTGGCTGAATCTACGACAGCTAGGCTTGTCTACTCTTCTTTAATTTGGTCTGATATTTTTTAGGCGGGTCATATTTAATGCCTGTGATACTATCAGAAACCATATAGAGAATGCTGATGGATGCACGGATGAACCGAGTTCCTTTCAGTTAGCTCAGGCAGTCAGTCATACATCATAAGAACGGTATTCCTCTTGTGTTTTTCTTTTCGATTAGTCTGTAAAATTAAGAAATAATGACTACTTTATTCATTTGAGGGGTGTAGAATGTCGTTAGAGCAGAGGAATCCTGATAGCAGGGCTTATACATTTTTGACTATGCATTTTGTTTTCTCTGTTCCCGGGGTACCGTACAAATTATTTTGGGTTCCTGACGTCCTTCAATTAGTACATCGACAAATTCTTGTTCATTAATAACATTGCTGTTGTTGACACAGTCTCGATCTATGTTCATCCCTCCTGAATAATTCTTCATTTTTCCGTTTTGCTTCCTAAAGAGACGTGAAAGTAATTTCACAGAAAGTTCATAAATAGAAGTTCCCTAGACAGGAAGTTATTGTTTCTGTCAATTTTCCCATGGTCATTTAGCGCTTAACTCCGGTGGTCTTTAAAGCCACCGCATCGGAATTTGATAAGCGTACCGTTGAAAGAGTGCACCGTCCTCACCGAATCGTCATTCTTACACAAAATTTACGTTAAAGTTCGTGTGTACATAGGGCAAACTGTAAACAAGATATCGTTTATAGCTTACACTTCCCGGTACCACATCTCATAACAGTAAAATACGCACAACTTATTGAGATTACTGCTAGTTTATCCTTTACATACCGCGTTTTCCTACATATACTACTAACCAAGAAGGGCGATATATTGGCGCATTAGTTCCGAAATTAATGGTTTTTACTGTTAAATATGGCAGTCGATCGAACAACCAGTTTGCGACTTAATGGTACATCGGTGGGTGCGGTGCTCAATAAGCACAGAATTGGAATTTAAGTACCGAGTTATCCAACCATTGGGCTGAGACATGGTTAATTAGTCGAACAGCCTCACATTCTCCCTCATTTTGTCGGTTTTGTGTCATTAGTGGTCGCTTGCAAGTGCTTTAGACTGACCTACAGGGCAGAATGGCACCTGCATGTTCTATACTGGCCTCAACTCACGGAACAAACTTCGCGCGGCCATACTCTTAGAGGGCATATCCACAAAAATGAGCGCAACCCGAATAACCTCCGCTAAATTATTAACTGACGCCAGCCAGCCAGCCAGCCCTAAGCCAACGATTTGAAACTCTGAACTTTATTTATTGAACAGTAAGGAAAAAGTACTATAAATAAATCAGAAAATACCAGTTTTGCCCGTTACAACCGAAAGGTATTCATTCGTATGGAAGT